TTAAGTTTTGTGGATATTATACATGGTTATGCTGAGGATATGTCAGCCAGTTTCCACTGGAAATACCTTTTGGTTAAACTGTCAGCAAGGAATTTGCACTGTTACATTTTTATAACTTTAATGCAGATAAAAAAAATAGCTGCTAGTTTAAGTGAAAATACATTGATGTTTTGGGGTTTTTTGCACTAATAAAGTTGTTGAGTTGTAAAGTATTTTCAGATGTATATCGTGATAAATATTTTTGGTTATATCACCCTGCTCTAGTGTCCACTATCATCTCATTTGTCTTACAGGCATTAATCTTGAGATTGTTCTCCTTACAGCAGTCAACAGGTGGTTAATCTCATCCTGGCAGTCAGATTTGTCATTCTTTGATATCAGATCTGCGCATGTTTTAGAGGGTCCAGAGTGGCAGCCAGGGAAGAAGTGATGGAAGTTATGATCAGTTTCTCAGCACCTTTCATGACCACAGACATCAGTGCTATGGGGCAAAAGTAATTTAAGCAGCTGGGCTGGGGTTTCTTAGGAACAGAGACTATTATTGTCTTTCTGAAGCATGTCGGAATAATGCACTTAGACGGGGAGAGGTTAAAAAATTACTGTGCAGGCTAATGAACTGCAGGCTATTTTTTTTTTTTAAAAATCCATTCTTAAGCCTCCCATGATTGTCTGACTGGGATTTGATCTGAGTGAAGTTGAGTGCAGTTACCAAAGGGGGGGAGAAAAGTAAATAGCATACATAAGTTTAATAAAAGAAAACCCCAAAGCACCAAAGACAGGATCCATCTCTTATATATAGTGGAAACAATATTAACAACACCAGAAAGTCTTTATTACAAAGCATCACTTTCCAGTTCCTCCAGGGGGAGTAAGTGATAAGTGGAGTGTTCCTTCCCCCTCTCCTATCCTCCTCATCTCTCTTCCTGGGGAGAACGGTGTCAGGACTACCCTGCTTGGCCTGCTGCCACAATGACTTGACTTTAAATAAGTGGAAAATAACAGATGGACAGATGTGGTGTACACCTGCCTCACACTACTGGACTGAACCCACCTCAGAAACCTTTTCTCCATGTTCCCAGGTTACAGATTCTAGGTGGCTCCCAGCAGCTCTCATGTCTCCACACCAGCGCATCCCTGGAATCCAAAACCTGGGAGAGGAGGAACCTGAAAATGTATCCACCTCAGCTGCCCGATGAGCCTCGCAGACCAGCAGTGAGTCTTTCTGCCAGTGTATGATGCAGAGTGAAAGGATGTCCTGAACAGGAGCTGATAGACGTTTTTTCTTCCCACAGGAGATTCACCACAGTAGGAGGCAGATTAAGTACAGCAAAGACAAAATGTGGTATTTGGCCAAAATGGTAAGACGTACTATATATTCAAATCATTCGACAGCTCCATCCTGATCTGTAGTGTACAGCCATTTTTAAAAAGTTGCCATCTGATCAGAAATACTCAAGGAACTATTTACGCTTCTTTATTTAAAACACTGTAATTTTGAAAAATCCCTTTTTTTGTGTCATGATCATCATATATTCAGTATGTTCTTCATACTTCACATTAGTCCTAGACAATCGTATTCTTTTAAATAGCTGAATTGGAAAAACTCATTCATGCATTTGTGTCATCACGCTTAGATTACTGTAATTCCCTGTTTACCAGCTTAAATAAATCATCTCTTTCTCGCCTCCAAGCTATACAAAACGCAGCAGCCAGACTACTAACTCGCTCTACCAAGCGTGTTCACATTACTCCCATCTTATATTCTTTACATTGGCTCCCAATAGAGTTTAGAATTCGCTTTAAAATTCTTGTTTTAACATACAGAGCACTAAATGTCTCCAGATTACTTATCCAAGCTTCTTATAAAATACACTGCTGCTCGTCATCTCCGCTCACAGACTCAGTCTCTTAGTTGTTCCCCGTACACGACTGAAGACAAAAGGGGGCAGAGCCTTTCAGTCTGTTGCACCAAGGCTGTGGAACAGTTTACCACTACAATTACGTTTGCTTGACTCTGTGGATTCTTTTAAAAAACAGTTAAAAACTCTTCTGTTCAAACAAGCCTTTTGTTGATCTACATATTTTATATTTTTTTTACATTATTTACATTTGATCTTTTACATTGTATATAATGTCTATTGATTTTAGTGTTTATTTTAATATTTGTGTACAGCGCTTTGTGATTGTCTGTCTGTGAAAAGCGCTTAATAAATAAAGTTTGCTTACTTACTTAAATATGTTCTATCTCAAAACGCTAGACTGTGTCTGTGCACACATTCCACTGTGTTTGTGGCACATCTGCTCATAGACTTGCTCTGGTTTGTAGGCTTAAGCTCAATGTCGGAGTTAAAAAGCAGTCC